GTTTACAACGGTCTCGAAATCATCAAAGTCTCAAAATATGCTCAAGCAACGCTCAATTCGCAGACTATTCCACTACTTCACTGCCTCGGCGTGTCTGGTCAGGTGTTCATGGATCTACTCGAGGAAGAGCTCAAGGAATACGAGGAGGCAATGCATAGTTCTGCACAAGCGGCCAGACTACTGCAAGAAAGGATTGACGAGAACCAAATCACATTGGTTATTGCCGAGATGGTCAATGTCTTTATGGAAACTCATGAGCCATTTCTGTGGTCTCTCATTCGTTTATGGAGATGTTGGGCACTCCAGCGCCTCAAATATAAGGCTGCCATCAGCGTGAAGAAGAGTGCATTTGTGTATGGCTGTGTTGACGAGACTGGCCTATTGAGAGGTTATTCTGAAATGCATCGTGTCAGCGGCCTCAAGGACGAGAACAAGCTCCCACAGGTATTCCTTCAGATCCCAGAGCAGGGCAACGAATTCAGTACCACAAAGTACAAGATTATAACAGGTCTTTGTGTGTTAGGCCGAAATCCGTCACTACATCCAGGCGACATCCAGATTGTTCAAGCAGTGGACGTTCCAGAGTTGCGCCATCTCAGAAACGTGGTTGTCTTCCCCCAGAATGGCGACAGAGATCTTCCCAGCATGTGTTCTGGTGGAGATTTAGATGGCGACGATTTCTTCGTATTCTGGGACGAACGCTTGTTACCCTCTGAGTGGAATTATCCTCCTATGGACCACGACGCTGAGACGGGCACTTCCGTTGCACGTCAGTCTTCCGATGTCACGATCGAGGACATGTGCGACTTCTTTACTGATTACATGAAGCATGACTCGTTGGGCGTGATAGCTACTTCACACAAGGCTTGGGCCGACAAAGTTGGGCCCAAAGATTCGAGATGTGAGTTGGCCTTGTCTATGAAACATTTGTGTCTTGACATATACTAACGGTATCTCAGGTCTTGAGCTTGCTGCTCTACATTCTGCAGCTGTGGACTATGTCAAAAGCGGCAAGCCTGCTGTCATGCACAGGTCTCTCTTTCCAGATAGATATCCGCACTTTATGTGCCGTCAAAAGTCATACAAATCTTTCCAGCCTCTTGGGCTTATCTACGAGCGCGTCAATGTTGAAACATTTAGCCCGGCGTACGAAATGGCCTTTGACGAGCGGATTCTGTCGCATTTCGATCTCTTGGATGAGGAGCTCACGAAAGCTCGGTTTGTCAAATCAGAATACGACATTGCCATGCGCCGACTGATGGGTCAGCACGAGAAAGCCATCACAGAATATGAGATTTGGTCTACCTTTGTCCTTTCCAAGCCACGTGTTGGAAATGACTACAAGCTTCAGGAAGCCGTTGGACGGGATATTTCTGCTCTTAAAGATCGATTCCGCAAGGTTTGCGCTGAAGCTATAACTGGTATGCCGCAAACTTCCAGCATGTTCTCGTACTCGGGAATCCAGCACGAAAAACTTGAACGCTTCGTTGCCGCCATGTACACGGTAACTTATCAGGAGGTTCAAGCTGCCCTGGAAGCACGAGACACGACGTATCTGGACGCAGAGGGCAATAAAGTTGCCAAAGACCAACATCCATCTGTTGCAATGCCTTTGATCAGCTTCCCTTGGTTGTTTCACAGAGAGCTGATTAGGATTGCCACGGGTAAACGAGAATTCAAGCAAGACCGCACAAGTCTCAGTGGTGTTAGCAGAACTCTGCACGAAGCCCAGACATCAAGACCTTCGAGTGATGTTGGCGGCGCCGACTTGAATATCAACAAGCTGGACACGACAGCTGTTGTTGAAGACTTGTTAGTCTTTGAAGAAGGAGACGGTGACTGCACACACATTGCGTCCGGAAAGGTGGTCCACCGTGGCGACATACTGGACCTGTTTGAGGATCACGCAGCAGACAAGTCTGATGCTATGAACTTATGGGAGAGCACCCCTGAGACTGGTGACTTCTCACAAAAGACCGTTAAAACGATCCTAGCACAAAACTCGGAGGATTTTAACTCAGGCATAATCGCTCAGCCGAAGCCGGAAGAGGGCGAAGATATTGAACATAAAGAAGTGGAGTTCGAGGAGATAGAGATGATTGACGACGAGGGTGAGGACGCTCTCGAGGTGCTTGCGAGCAAAATCGCCGTGACGGCTGTTGGGAGTGATGGGGCAACGAGTGAGAGCTTGATTCAATAATTGCAACTTGAGTTGGTGGACTTTGCATTGGCCATGGCTATTTTCCAACTGACGCAATACGTTTTGGGTTTGGTCGTTCTTCAACGCATACAGGGTGGCGCTGTGATTGACAGTATACGATCTTATTGATTGTTTGACGCGTATATGACCTAGCCACATTTGAAATCAAGTGAAGTTGCCTCATTTCTCGTTTCCGAGCACAGTAGCTGTTTCTGTGTTTGTTGGTATACATACAGTACAACAGAGCCCTATGAACAAGTCGAATTACCCATCCCTAGCACAAAAAGAAACTCAGAACCAAAGGAATCCCATCATTGCCTCATTAGAGCCACACCCTTTCCCCGTCACCGTCTTTAGTCTGGATCTAGTTTTCTGATTTTTAGTTTCCAGCGCAAGCGGCAGCGGCAGCAGCAGCGGCCTCCTGGGCCTCCTTCTTCTTCTTCGCGGCCTCTTTGGCAGCCTCCTCGGCCTGGGTGTTGCCGCTGGTGCTGGTGGAGGAGGTGGTGACGCCCTGGTGGTGGCGCTTCTGGATTTCGTCAACGAGGGAGCGGGCTTTGGCGCAGTTTGTGCCCGTCGCAGTGGTTGTTGCGGCAGCGGCGGTGGTGGTGGCGGTGGTGGTTGCTGCGGTGGCCACGCCCTGGTGGTGGCGGTCTTGAAGCTCGGCGACGGGCTGGGTTGGAAAATGAGTGTTAGTATTGGGTGTTGCTTTGGGGCAATTGGATTGATGAATCAGAGGATGGAAGGCTTACAATGGCAGCAGTCAGGCCGAGGAGGGTGAAAATGGCGAATGAGAAACGCATTTTGATTGAGTGGATTCGAAGTGGTTGGCTGATTCAATAAAGGCGGATAAACTGCTGGCAGTCTATCTAGAGGGGAAAAAACCCAAAATAAAGTAAAGAGTGGAATGGTCAGGCCGGCTGAATTTAGTGAGTGAATGTAAAATGGGAGAGAATGAGTCGCTGCGCTGAGATGAAGATGAGATGGGATGGAAGATTTGAGAGATGGAGTGAGGATGGAGGAGATATTTATGATTTCCTTTGTCTTTGGCTCGTCTATGGTCTATAAGTAAATGCCAAAGTGGCATATGCAGGTGTTGACCTCGCGAGTCCGATTCTAACCTATTGCCCTCACTCGCTCCTCTACATCCGGGATTCTCTATCACTCTCAAGCCGGGATGCCGCGCATAAGGGAAGGTTCAAAAAGAAGGAAGCTTGTAGCATATCCGCATCTAATATGCAAGGCAAGGCAAGACACGGCAGGAAAAGGAGGACAAATGGCTGGAATTGGCATAGTTAAGCTTATCTTGTCCCATCTCTTGGCCAAGAAAGAGCGTTTGTTTGTGTGGATAGAAACAAAGAGGCGTGGTTGGGATTAATTGAGTATCAGGTGAACGGCGGTGGTTGGTGAGATGGATGAATTGCTTTGATGAAGTAAAGGGTGGAGACTCCCTTTCCCCGGGTTTCCCTGCCCCCCCCCCCTTCCACATGCAGTTTTACGGAGACTTTTGGAGACGTCGCAGAGACTGACACCCTGGCAAGCGGAGCGGGTCTGAAAGTATCAGCCACAACTGACCCTGATGCTACGTATCCAGACACAAGTGCTGTAAGCGCTGGGTTAGAGGTACACACAACCCCTTGAACCACGGGGCTGCTTCAGCAACACCACTCGTGTCTCGTGTCTGAAATCCACTTGAAAGATATGTCGCTCATTTCAAACAACCGAACCCGACCCCTTCTTTCCGAGGATGCATATAAAGTGAGCACGTTCATTCATCCATCTCACTGGCACGATGTTTCTAATTGCGCTGCAAACATTTTGCTGCTTCGCTTCTACAGCTCCCTACACTTGCCGGTCGACCATTGGCACTGCTTTGCCGCTGGGGGAAATCCCCTGGGCTTTTAAGGAGTTGGACTATCTCATACACTTCATGGTTCAGAGCCCGGTCGCGGCGGTTAGCACGGATCAAGTCCTGTGCCTTGGATTGCCGTCCTGTCTGTGGACTGGATATCGACGTCTGTCAGGCTGAAGGCAAAGAGTGCAGTATGGCTGTTGACTGACGTGAAGTGAAGGGAAGGGTCATCAAAGCAGCATATCTCGAGCCACGAGTGTCCTCGAATGCCTAGAGATTTCTCTCCAACATCACCACTGAATAACTGCTTGGGTGCGCCCTCACTCATCAACAGGCATCTTAACTCTTTCATGATATGAATGAGTTCGGCAAGAAAGACTCGCAGTACCCTCCATATCACTGTGAATGGATCAGGACCTTGTCTGTTGGTAGGTCAACAATGCAGCCTTGCCGAGACCTCCATGTTTCTGTATGTTCTTCATGCGTACGTTAGCAGATCAACAAGGCAGGCAAGCCTGCAGAAAGTTGGTTTGAGAGGAAAAGAGGGACGCAAGACGCTGTTGCTTGACATGACAAGTGAGGACTATCGATCAGAAAAGTTTGGTATGGCTTTATGTCATCTGATTGTGGTGATGAGCACTTGTTTTGTTCCCCCGCTACCAAGTTTTTGGACGTTGTTGGGACGGTTCTCAAGGTTTTGTTCTTTGCTTTTCCTGAATCAAAGGCTGATTATGTGTCTGATCACCTGCCGGTCAAGGTTCCCTTGACGATCTCTCATGATGTCGAAGAGCCTTTTATACACCTTCACTTCGCTTGTTATTGCAATTGGAGATGACACAAGTCATGGCGGTTGAATAGCGTGAAGGTGGGTGGTCGTTGGGAATCGTTGGCGACACCCATTCGACCAATGCAGTAGGAGGATATAATTAACGTACATTTTGAGGAACTCAATCCGATATGGTGTAATGGCTAACATCTGACGCTCTCATTTCCTGTAAGGGCCCGTCAAGCTCGGGGTTCGATTCCCCGTATCGGAGATTCTTTGAAATTTCCGTCGGATTTCCAATGTTTCTTTTTTACTGATTTGCGATTTTTGACAAAAGTCTGCTGCTAGGTTCTGCAAGTGGAGCCGGAAATGATCTGTAGTGAATTTGATCACAGCCCATTTGATCATGGAAAACGCGAAGAGTAGTCTTCAAAGACTGGGTAAACACAGTTACTTTAGTCTCCTTAAGCTTTTCTGCAGTCTTCCAAGCCTTGGACTTTGGGTACAATCACAGGAACAGATCATGAATCTCACAAACGGTTGTCAATTATTCTGACAGGCGGCTGACCAATTCTACATAAATACGCAGGTACGAAGTGCCTTGATATGTGATTCCGTCACCTGCCCATCCCTGCCATTGGCCCCTGCTACCAAACAGCCGCGACCGATTTTCTAGTGACACATGCAGCTCGGCTGCGCGCGACAACACCAACTCCCGATCTCCAATCCACCCGATCTCTCGTCATCTTCCTACCTTCCTCTCCTCCCAGCAAAACCGCCGTTGCAATGCCAAGTTCATGTAAGGAGATAAGTACGTATCATGATTGTCAAATTCCTTCCACCTCTTCCCGCTACCCTTTCCATCTACAACCTTCACATGACCGTGTTACAAAGGCTGCCCGGCTAGCTGACGAACCACCCTCCCCAAAACAGGAGCAGCCCTGGCGCAATGCCTCCAAGAATCCGAATGCGTTATGGTGCAACGACACTCGGCCGCCGACTGCCTCCGGTCCCCGCTCGCCGAGACGCTGCCGACCAAATGCCAGCAGCTGAAAAAAGGATTTGGCGAGTGTCGGCGCGGCATGATTGACATGCGCAAGCGGTTCCGCGGAAATCAACCGGCGGCGTTTCGGAACTTGCAAGAGAGTGACGCGACGGGTGAAGGCTATCAGTTGTATGCGGGCAAGAGCGCGTTTGGAGGCTCGGCCGGGGAGACGAAAGGTGATGGAGTGGCGCCGCGAGATTGGCGGGAGGTGGAGAATGAGAAATATCGGAATGAGAATGGCGGTGATAAGAAGGCGTGATGTGGGCGGATGGAACATCAGAGCTCGAGGAGCTGTACAAAAGGGTGCAAGAGCATGGGACCATCAGCCCGGAAGGAACGGCATAGAGTTGATGAATCAGAGCTCTTGTGAAAAGGCCTCGAGGCTCACAAATGGCCTTACGAAAACCACCTTTGCTCTGTCGGTGTTCAAGAGAAGGCACTTGGCCAAAGGAGACACTGAGTTGGCACTGTGTCGAGTCTAGAGGAGTCAAGGATTCGGAGACCATGACTGGAGAGTCTCACTTGGTATTGACCTACGTCAAAGGCTGTGCCCAGCCAGACCATCAGCCTTCGACCACGAATCTACATTTCGAAACGCTTCGAGCTGCCTCACCGGCTGGTTGGTCTCTTGGGAATACCATGGTCGACGTTGTCGTTGGTATGTGAGATGGTGGCCCAACGATGGTGATTATGGGGTCTGGGTGTCTATTTAGTTGTTCCAGCTGGTTCTGTCTGGCTATCAGTGATATCGCGGCAAAAGAGCCTTTAGTGTTGTTTATCAGGCAAAGACTGGGAGAAGGGTGAGATGCTGGCCTGCTTCTACATGAGGTCAATCTCGTATGGCAGTCACTACTGCAGCACCTGCATCTTATTGGGGCCCGAGACACGGACTGCATTACTTGTTCCTGACAGTTCAAGTTATCGCATGTAGAAGATCGTGAATCGGTTGGATGCGTGGTGTGCCATGTCAGCATGCTATTGGCTGTCAACATCGTACATATGCACTATCTCGGGCCACGACGGACGTGGCATATGTAAATGTGGCAGCAATCTACTTCTACATCGTCTGATTACTTGTCTTCTCAATTCATGAATCGGCTGGCAAGCAAATAAGTTGAGGGCCTCGTCTGTCGGTTTCAATGGCTGTTTTCGTGAACAAGCCTTTGAAAATAGAAACATGAGTTACTTACAGTAGTATCAGTGACAAGAATCTGATGTCAAAGTCAGGTGAGCGTTTGTCCACTGCGGGAGGATTCCCGGGGCGTTTTTAGGGGCTCAAAGGTACATCGATTTAAGGTTCTGCTGTCACGGCTGGGCGGGGCGGGTCCAGCTATTTGACCCTTGCCGTCTTTCACAGGCTACACACAGCAGGGCACATCTAACTCAAGCCCGCCAGTCACAGTTGCCCAGCCCTGATGTCTCAGTGGTGGGACAGTCCTCCTCTCTTTGATTGCCAGGTCCTGGCTTGCATTGCACCTCTCTCTTCTTCTTATCCTGCCTCCCTATTCTCCTTCCTCCTCCTTCCCTCCCCTCAGTTCGAGAGAGCAGAGAGCCGGTTGCACTGGCTTCGCTTGTTCAGCGTCGGAACTCGCTCAACATCCTGACCGACGACGCCTTTGAACGACATTGCTGGTTCCACTGCCAGCAAACGAGCGAGCGGGCGCGTGCTACCCGCACTCAATATTTCCCATTGCCTGCACAACCACCCATGACGACGTAATCGGGTGATTCCACGATTGATTGAGGCTCGCCCGCCACTCAAGTCGCGACCTCGCGCACGCGCGGCCCACTATCCTCGGCCGCTCATGGCTTTTGGCACCATGCTTTCCAACGCCACCCTCCAGCGCCCGCGGTCCCTCTTTGGCCTGGGTATCCTGACCCTCTGCGTCACCCTTATCCTGTCCTACGAGCGCCTTCGAAGTTACGCTTTCGGTCCATTTCCCGACTTCCTCAGCGGCTCCTCCACCGACGACAGCAGCGCCTCCGACCTAGGGGCTAATCTAGTCATTTCCAAGACGGATCGCCTTGTCTATCAGCTTATTGCGAACAATATTGGTCCTATCTCGTACGGCACAGCCATGCGTCCCAAATTCAAGGACATGCCCGAGCTCCTCATCGACACCCTACCGGAGCGCTTCATACCCAGCGTGACTAGCCAAGATCTGCCAGGAGCGGAAAACGACGCCAGCAGTAGCGCGTCCGCACGCAGACTCATCATCATTGGCGACATACACGGACAGAGGAAGGCCCTCGAAGATCTATTACAGAAACTCGATTTCAACAACAATAATGGTGATCACCTGATCTTTACAGGCGATCTCATCAATAAGGGTCCTGATTCTGCCGGCGTGGTGGCCATGGCCATGGAGCTCGGCGCACACAGCGTCCGCGGCAATCATGAAGACCGCGTGCTGCTCGCCCACGCTGCCATGAACAGAAGGACACAGCTCACTGTCGCCGAGGCTGAGGCATCGCTCAAGGCGTTTGAAAATTTTCAAATTAAAGAGGATGGCGATGGAGAGTCGGATGCGTATAATGCGCTCAAGGCACACCAGGCAGCCGAAGACGCGCTCTCCAAGGGCGAGGAGCGTGATCGCGAGACGGCGCAAGCACTATCGGATGAGCAGATCAAGTGGCTGGCTGGGCTACCGCTCATCCTTCGAATTGGGTCCATTCCACTTGGCACAGAACAACAACAAACGCCCGCCTTAGAAAACGTCCTGGTCGTGCATGCTGGCCTGGTACCCAAGGTCCCGCTCGAGGCGCAGGATCCCTGGGCTGTCATGAACATGCGGACGATTACATACCCCATCGATGAGATACGCCGTGACGCCGTTAAGTCGTTTTTGATTGAGAAGGCAAAGGCTCAGAGTGAGGGCAAAGGAGGCAAGTCGCGCCTCAAGGCTCTTCAAGATGTTGACGGCGATTTGATCAACACGGAGCTGAAAAAGATGTCGATTTCGCAAGGCTTCGAGTTGGGTAACCATATCAATGAAGCTGGGCTACCAAGTGAAGGACGCGACGGCAAGCCCTGGTACGAAGAGTGGGGCGCGTATCAGGATATGCTAGCCGGCAAGAAGCGCACAATCACGAAAAGACTGGGCAAGAAGGATGTGGTGGACGAACAGATCAACGGAACACTGACAGGAGGAGAGGATAAGAGTCTGGTCGAAGAGGAGGAACACCAGGACCAACAGGAGGAGGAGCAGGAGGAGGAGCAGGGAGAGGAGCAGGAAGAGGAAGAGCAAGAAGAGCCAGAAAACGAACAAGCATCCTCTGTCTTTGCCAATCCCGAGCCAATTACGACAATTGTGTACGGCCACGATGCAAAGAGCGGCCTGCAGGTTCCTGAAATTTATAAAGAGGGCAAGACAGGGTACACCTTTGGCTTGGACACGGGCTGTGTGTATGGCAGGAGTCTGACTGCACTGGTGATTGAAATACGCAATGGCGCAGTTGTGCACGACATTGTACAGGTCGCCTGCGACAAGGCAGTAGATCCGGACAAATAATGATGTTATGTTTTCTTCTTTTTTACAAAGATCAAGATGGTATGATTCTCAATTGAGTTTACCAATGTTGCTGGGATTGGAGTTCCAGAGTTTTCGACTTGAATGATATTTTTATAAGGTTCAACAATGGCGTTTCAATAGACTGATCCAGGCAGAACAGGACCAGCAGAGAGATACGGATAGTGATGCAAGCAGGCGTTTGAGGTGTTTGGCGTTGCAAATTCTAATTCTAATTCTGCTCCCATGCCTCTGTCACCTTGTCTATCTTGCTTGTGTTTTGCATGTACTTTAACCTGTTGTATAAAGGGCACGTCCTTCATATAAGTACAATGTTGACTCAGGTTGATTGCCAAGTCATCTCTTCTGGAGAAGGAAAAGTGGATTACGGACTGGTAGGATTTTGTTCATTTTCAACCTAGCTTGTCGTCGTGGACTGTCAAGAGATATCATCCAAACACACGGTGCGAAATATGTCCCCCTGGTAACATGCGCACTGTGAGATATAAACGCGTCGTGGTTGCCCGTTCCGGCTCGCACGCGACGGTAGCATCTCAACTCTATCTGCCTTTCCGGTACCACAATTCGCCCCGTATCGCGACTCCTCATCCCTCTCGTCGCTGTCAAAATCCATCAGCTTGTTTACCTGATGGCCTCAGGGCACAAACGTAACCCTTCTCTGGTTTAATGCACCAGGCACCTGGCCTCAGTCCGGGC